GAGCTCCTGATGCTGTTCCTCCACACCAGGCGGTCCAGCTCCAGGTGTTGGATGGAAAGAGATTTCAGACGGTTGTTGCTTTTGCCTAGACAAGACAGAAGGCCCCGCATGGTGACCTGGAACTTCTTGGTCAAGACAGCGTTGTAAGGATTCAGGAATTTGACCTCCAGGCGCTCCAGATAACGACCAAACTTCTTAACGTACCAAAGAGCGGACTCAAATTCAGATGCATGCACCCTCGAAGGTCTCCCGCTGAAGGTGATGGTCCTATACCGCCAGAGGTCAGCAGAATACATCATCTGGTTCCATTTTCTGCAGACAAGAGCAGCCCTGGACCTGTCCCTGTCTCCTAGCCACCAGAAAACACGGCGCAGGCACACATCGGGCAGACTGGCCCAGCAGCTCTGCTCTTCGGGCTGGATCAGTTCACTTTCTTCATCCATCCAGGAACTGGGATGAACAGTGCAGCTGTGTGTTAGGCAGGGCTTCCAGAAACGAGGAAAGAAAAGCAATCACTTGCTTTCTGTGGAGAGTAAAAAGGAAGCGCCATTACTTGTCAAACAGAAATCAAACTCAGATGAACCAGCTTTCCCTGTGGTCCAAAGTGTATTAGGCACCGTGCCAGGTGTGGGTGGTTCAAGGAGAAAGTCATGATACAGTCCACACCTGCAAGGATTTCACAGTCTATCCAGGGACACAGACCAGTTCAGTCATAACCCAGTGAGAGAGCGGGAAGGTTCGGGCAGGCTCGTAGTGCGGGGTAGCACACATGGAGGGTGACTTATTCTGTTTGGCTAAGGAGGAAGAAGAGAGGGCTGCTCAGAGGAGGTGACGTCTGAGCTGGGTTTTGAAAGGTGAGTAGGATTTGCAAAGCAGACCAGGTGGGCCTAGTGGGAGCGGTGGAGGAACTGATGCCTTCTGGGTGGAGGGAACAATACGTGCAAAGCCACAGAACGGTGAATGCATGTGATGTGCTCACGTTCAGGGAACTCAAAATTGTTTGATCATCTGGCACTTGTTAAGTGGGCTGAAAATAGAGGAGTTGGAATACATGAGAGTAGCGGGAGGTGCTGAATCAAGGGGCCCTGAGCCATGTGTTAAAGATTATGTCCTAGAAGGCCGAGATTCCACTTCCCCTCTCCCCTTCTGTAAATAGGGGTCATAGTGGTGCCTTTCTCCTCGTGTTGGGAGGATTAAGTGGGCTGATACGTGGAAAGCACCAGAATCAGTGCCTGTCACATAGTAAACGCTACACAAGACCCGGCTGCCATTCATAAGTTAAGTTAGTGCTGAGGGGCTTCTGCAGCATCTGGTGTAGGAAGACAGGAATACAAACACATCCATCCCACAAATACAGAGACGGAGGTGTTGAAGGTGAATAAAGGTTCCCAGGGAGAACGTGTAGTAAGTGAGGAGGTGGGATTCGAACCCAGGGTTGGTCCACCCTATCACACAGCTGCCAAGCAGGGAGGGAAATCTAAAGACGTCCTACCCACCGCGGGAGGGGAGTTGGCCCGGCAACTCCTGCAGCCAGATGCTTCGCAGAGGAGGTGATGAGAGCAGCCCGCCTCCCCGCGTGGGCCTCGGGGCCTCCCACCGCCACCCCAGCCTGCTCCCGTTCGCGGAGCCCCGCGTGGGCTGCGCCGGGTTTGGGCTGCAGGGAAGGCGAGCACGCCCGCCTGCTCAGCCCGCGCAGCTGCTGCTCCGACGCCAACTCCGTGGGCGCCTGGGGTTTGCGTCTTGCTCTGGCCCAGGTTAAATGCCAAGCGCCGGCCGCCTTTGTGACGCGCAGCCACCTGCAAGGCTCTGCTCCTGCCCCCAGCTCGCAGAGCCCCAAACCTGCAGTTTCCAGGTCAGTGGATCCCATGTGCAGAGGGCGAGACTCTCGGGCGGTGCTGGGAGGCTGGGGCGGCGCTCCGGGTGAGGATAGCATGGCCCCTACCCTTCCTTCTGCACACAGGGAAGAGCTTGGGTCCGAACTTGGGGTTCAAATCCGTTCAGTTTCCTGCCTTTCCCATCCTGACCCAACCCTGGGTTTCTTTCGAAGCTGCCGCTGCGTGCTCACCCCTAGGGTTCACTTTCCTCTTTTTAGACAAGCCCCCCCCCCCCCAAAAGCCTTAAGGACCTGACTTACCTGGGCAAAGCAAAGCCTGAGAACTGCTTCCACCGTTTCGGTCAAGGAAGACAGAAACACGAACACATTCACTTCACAACTCCCGAAACGGAGGTATCGGAAAGCAGTTTGGCATGATCTCAAATCACTTAAAACAGAACCACCATTCTGGTAGTGGCCGAACTAATTTACATTCCCACCAGCAGTGTGTAAGTGTTCCCCTTTCTTTGCAACCTCACCAGCACGTTATTTTTTGACTTTTTAATAATAGCAGTTCTGACGGATGTGAGATAGTATCTCATGGTGGTTTTGAGTTACATTTCTCTAAAGATGTTTCCAAGTGAGAACGTGTAGTAAGTGGGGAGGTGGGATTCGAACCCAGGGTTGGTCCACCATATCACACAGCTGCGAACCAGGGAGGGAAATCTAAAGACGTCCTACCCACACCTATTTTCCTCCCCTGGCAGAGGCAGGGGCCCTAGTGGGCTCCCCTCAAAGCCCAGGCAGAAAGGTGGGAGTGTGCTGTTTGCTGCTGGGTAGGTTGCATCACTAGGCTTCCCCCAGCCACTCTCCCTGCCCAAAGCCTTCGAAGATGCCCCACTCCACTTCCCTTCCCTTCCCCACTGTCCCAGCCTCATTGTCCCTCCTTCTCTGAACGTCTTCTGCTCCCCTTTCCCTGGGTACTGCCTCATCCTGGGGTCCCAGCTGCTGCCATCCCTGGCCCTGTAAACCAATGCAGAATCCAAAGAAAGGTGGACAAGCAGCTTTTAGAGAGGCATTTTTATTCTTTGGGGACAAAGCTGGGTTCTGTAGGTGTCCAGGCTGTAGGGCCCAGAGGCTTAATCAGAATTTGCGGGCAGAACTGGAACCTTCCTTTTATCCCCTTGGTTTATTTGTAGTCCTTGGGCAAACAAATGTCTTTGTTCAAAAGAAGGAAAATAGTCCAAACCTTTTAACTTTCGTTTTAGGTTCAGGGTCACATGTGCAGGTTTGTTATATAGGTAAACCGCATGTCATGAGGGTTTGTTGTACAGATTATTTCAGCATCCAGATAATAAGCCTCATACCAGATAGGTAGGTTTTCAGTCCTCACCCTCCTTCCAGCCCCAGGGTCTGTGGTTCCCTTCTTAGTGTCTCTGTGTACTCAATGTTAGCTTCTACTTATAAGTGAGAACATGTGATATTTGGTTTTCTGTTCCTGCATTAGTTCATTTAGGATAACGGCTTCCAACTCCATCCATGTTGCTTCACGGGACATGATCTCATTCTTTTTTATGGCCGCATAGTATTCCATGGGATATATGTGCCACATTTTCTTTATCCATTCTACCACTGATGGACATTTAGTTTGATTCCATGACTTTGCTGTTGTGAACAGTGCTGCAGTGAACATTCATGTATACATGTCTTTATGATGAATGATTTCTATTCCTTTGGGTATATACCCAATAATGGGATTGCTGAGTCGAATGGTAGTTCTAAGTTATTTGCAATATTGCCAAACTGCTTTCCATGATACCTGAAGTAATTTATATTACCACCAGCAGTGTATAAATGTTCCCTTTTCTTTGCAACCTTGCCAGAATCTGTTATTTTATGACTTTTTAGTAATAACTATTCTGACTGATGTGAGAGTATCTCATTGTGGTTGTGATTTGCATTTCTCTAATGATAAGTGATGTTGAACATTTTTTTTCATACGCTTCTTAGCCACATGTATATCTTTTGAAAAGTGTCTATTCATGTCCTTTTTCCACTTTTTAATTAGGTGGTTTTTTGCTTGTTGGTGTATTTAAGTTCCTTATAGATTCTGGATATTAGACCTTTGTCAGATGCAGAGTTCACAAATACTTTGTTCCCGTTTTATGGGCTGTTTACTCTGTTGATAGTTTCTTGTGCTGTGTAGAGTCCTTTAGCTTAATTATGTCGCATTTGTCAATTTTTGCTTTTGTTGCAATTGCTTTGAACATCTTCGTCATGAAATCTTTGCCCATCCCTATGTCCAGAATGGTATTGCCTAGGTTATTTTCCCGAGTTTTTATAGTTTGAGGTTTTTACATTTAAGTCTTTAATCCATCTGGAGTTGATTTTTGCATATGGTGTAAGGAAGGGATTCCCTTTCAATCTTCTGCATATGGTCAGCTGATTATCCCAGCACCATTTATTGAATGGGAAGTTCTTTCCCCATTGCTTGTTTTTGTCTAAGATCAGATGGTTGTAGGTATGTAGCTTTATTTCTGGGCTCTCTATTGGGTTCCATTGGCCTGTGTGTCTGCTTTTGTACCAGTACCATGTGGTTTGGGTTACCGTAGCCCTGTAGAATAGTTGGAAATTGGGTAATGTGATGCCCCCAACTTTGTTCGTTTTGTTTAGGACTGCTTTGGCTATTTGGGCTCTTTTTTTGTTCCATATACATTTTAAAGTTCTTTTTTTTTTTTCTGATTCTGTGAAGAATGCTATTGGTAGTTTGATAGGAATACCATTGAATCCGTAAATTGCTTTGGGCAGTATGGCCATTTTAACAATACTGATTCTTCCTATCCATGAGCATGGAACGTTTTCCCATGTGTGTCATCTCCGATTTCTTTCAGCAGTGTGTTGTAATTCCTGTTATAGAGATCTTTTATCTGCCTAGTTAGTTGTATTCCTAGGCATTTTATTCTTTTTGTGACGATTGTGAATGAGATTGCGTTCTTGATTCGCTCTCAGCTTGGACGTTGTTGGTGTATAAAAATGCTACAGACTTTTTGTACATTGATTTTGTCTCCTGAAAGTTAGCTAAAGTTGTTTATTGGATACAAGAGCTTTTGGGCCAAGACCATGGGGTTTTCTAGGTATAGAATCATATCGTCTGCAAACAGAGATACTTTGGCTTCCTCTCTTCCTATTTGGTTGCTTTTTATTTCTTTTTCTTGCCTGATTACTCTGGCAAGGACTTCCAGTACAACGTTGAATAGGACTGCGTTGAGAGTGGACATTTTTGTCTTGTTCTGGTTCTCAAGGGGAATGCTTCCAGCTTTTGCTCATTCAGTATGCTGTTGGCTGTGGTTTGTCATAGATGGCTCTTATTATTTTGAGGTGTGTTCCTTCTGTGCCTGGTTTCTTGAGGGTTTTAAACATGAAGTCATGTTAAGTTTTATCAAAAGCCGTTTCTGTATCTATTGAGATGATATATAGGTTTCGTTTTTCGTTCTGCCAAACCTTTTCTTTTAAAGCCCAATGAATAAAACCCATCATTTTTCACAAGACCACCACAGCAAGCAGGCAGGAAAGCCAATGTTAAAAGTGAAATCTTCTGAATTTGTAGCACCTTTCCTTTTCCAAATCTAGCTCAAATGTCTCACTTGTTTTCCTTTCGATGAAGCTAACCACCAGCATTTCTCCTAAGAAATGGATATAAAAACGTCTGATATGGTTAAAGTGGGAAGTGCTATTTCCTCGAATATCTCTGGATGTTGCTGTTCCTCATCTCAGAGCATGAGCCCTGCCCAAAGTCTGGGGTGTAATGGCATAGAAAAGGTCAGGAACCCACTGAGCCAGGAGTATAAGAGGCTTGGGACAAAGTTTAAAAGGGGTCTGTTGCTATCACGGGGTTGAGGGACAGATGGGAAAACACTTACACCATGGAATCTTATGCAGCCATTAATAAGAACAAGCCACATCGTTTGGCTTGTAAGGATTTCCTTGGGTATTGCTGAATCCTAACATTAGGATGTAAAGAAATGTTGGCTGGGCATGGTGGCTCATGCCTGTATTCCCAGCATTTTGGGAGGCCGAAGCAGGCAGATCATCTGAGGTCGGGAGTTCGAGACCATCCTGGATGACATGGTGAAACCCAGTCTCTACTAAAATACAAAAATTAGATAGGCATGGTGGCAGGCACCTGTAATCTCAGCTACTCAAGAGACTGAGACAGGAGAATCCCTTGAACCTGGGAGCCAGAAATTGCAGGGAGCTGAGATCCTGTCACTGCACTCCAGCCTGGGTGACACAGCAAGACTCCATCTCAAAAAAAAAAAAAAAAAATGTGGAGAAATGTATATAACAGGACTGTAAATGTGTATGTTTGTATGTGGTTATATGAGAAATTGCTAAATAAAATACAGGGTGCCCCAATTAAATTTTAATTTCAGCAAAACAATCACAGCATGGAACATACTTATACTAAAAACATTCTGTTTCTCTGAAATTCAAATTTGACCTAATGTCCTGTATTTTTATTTGCTAAATCTGGCAACTCTGTTATATAGGGATGGAGAAAATTGTGAAAGGAAATATACCAAATTGTAGGAAGCAAGGAAAAATGGTACTAGTAACACCCCCAGCAAATATGAAATTAGCCAGTTTTTACAAAATGATATGCTTATGTGCATACATGGATGCATAAGGAAGTTAGAAAAAAAGGTTTGGGTCTACTAAGTCTCTTTTGTAAGGAGCATGCATCATACACCAAATGAAAAAGGCAAGGGGCATAGTAATAAGTATAGTAAGATAATGTGTGTGGAAAAAGAAACAATTGAAACCCAGTATATGCTTGTTTAGATTTGTAAAAGCAAAGGTAGAACTTTGAAAAGATGCCCATAAAGCTGTTGAAATTGGTATCTCAGTATATGGGGTTGGGGAAGTAGGGTTAGCTTTGCTTTTTTACTTCTTTATATGGTATGATGTCAACTAGCTCCAACCAAATCTAGTACTTTTGTATTTTGAAAAATAAACAAACTCCAGGCATCCAGTCTGGAGCGGAAGAGTATAAACTTTGCATCTGTATATAGGTGGACTCAGGCTGGATTCTGCCATTCTAATTGTATAGTCCTTGGGAAGCTACTTTACCTTGTCTGTAAAATGGGGATAAAATACCTACCTATTGTTTCTGATGAAGATTATAAAGAGCTCTGCATTTGAACTGGCACACAATGGTTAACAACCTCTAATGCCAATTGCTATTATTACTAGAAAATAACCTAGGATGTAAAAATCAGGATATTCGGGGAGATGCCTATAAAGCCTGAACTGCTTGAAGCAAACTTTGATCTGCTGAAGATAAGCCACCAACTGGCTTAGGATCTTGACTGAGACATCTCACCTCTGGGCCTGAGTGCCATATCTACACCATGGGAGAGACAGACTGGGTGTCCTCTGCTTCTTTCATTTACTCAACAGTTTTGGAGCACTTGCTGTATGTCAGTCCCTGGCCTAGGAGCTGGAGACACAGAGATGAGAAACTGGCTCAATCTTCAAAGGTGACTCAGTCTCGGAGGTGATGCAAATAAACCAGGTGGTAAGTGCTATGAGAGAGTGCATTTGGACACCCAGAGAAGTGGCAGACAGAGAAGGGCCACAACATTTGTGAATATTTTTCAGGTCTTAGATTTTTTAAATACACTGTACATATGGTTCACAACCAGGTAAGCAAAGAACAGAGGCTGAGTACCTGATGTTGATTCAGGATGGGCAGGGGAAGCAGGATGCCACACTGAGAGCATCTCCTCAGAATGTCATAGGCTGCTTCATCTCCTACAGGGGAGGTGGTCCTAGGCTTGGGCTCTGACATCCAAAGTGGATCCAAGGTTTTGCTTTTGCCTCTTGATGTTTTCTTTGATGAACTTTCAGAATGAAGAGGAAATCTGTTTATACTTTTTGTCTTTGGACGGACATCTTTCTCCATTGTGGAAGTTTGGTTTTCAGCAGCTTGACTTGGAAGAGATGAAGGAAGAATTTTTGGCTTTCCAACAGGAAAGTGTTTCTTAATCTCTGAGTCTGGATGACATTTACCCTGAAATTGTGAATAATATATCAAATTTTAAAATGACTTCAGCTTTAATGGTCAGAAAATATGGTAGACTAGATAACAAAAACTTCCCACTGTAAACATTTTTATATGCTGTATAAAATGTGACAAAACATTCAATGTAATACCTGGCTTTGCAGGAAAGAAAGAAAATTTTGCATTCCAGGAATGAAGGTCTGACTGGTTGCTATGGTTTATATGTGTCACCTCCAAAATTCAGGTGTTGCCAATGTGATGGAATTAAGAGGCAGGGCCTCTGGGAGGTGATTAGGTCATGAGAGTGCCTCCCTTGCTAATAGGATTAGGGTCCTTATAAAAGAGGCTTCATGAAGCATTTGGCTACATCCTTCTACTCTTTTGCCTCCTACCATGCTAGGAGGCAGCAGGAAGGTCCTCCCTCACCAGACACCAAGTGCTGGTGACTTGATCTTGAACTTCCAGCCTTCGAAGCTGTTAGAAATAAATTTCTGGAAGATCCAAGTTGGCTGAATAGGAACAGCTCTGGAGTGCAGTTCCCAGTGAGAACAATGCAGAGGATGAGTGATCACCACATTTCCAAATGATTTTTTACTGCCCACAGACCAGGAATTCTCGGGCTGAAAAATGCCACAAGTTTCCAGCATGGCTGTTTCAGCAGGAGTGCTGTGGGTTTCCACACTAAAACTCACACAAATCTGGACTTCCATTTCAACTGGCACCTGGAACACCTGGGAGACAGAGCTGCCCATTCAACTGAAAAAGAGGGGGCTAAAACAGGGAGTCAGGTGATATGGCTTGGCAGGTCCAACCCCTACAAAGACTAGCAATCTGAAATGCTTTGGATTGAGAGTTTTGCAGCAAGCACAGCTAGACCAGGGACTGCCAGCTCTGTGGGGGGAAGGGCATCCGCCATTACTGAGGCAGTCCACCACTACTGAGGCAGTCCACCATTACCAAGGCAGTCTGCCATTACTGAGGCAGACCATCATTACCAAGGCAGTTCTAGCTGTACCTCTGTAAACAAAATTGCAAGGAAGTTCACACAGCAGCTGGGCAGAACCCATGGCAGCTCAGCAACGCCTCTGCTGGCAGACTGTGACTAGACTACCTCCTTGCTGGGCAGGGCATCTCTGAAAAAAGGCAGCAGCATGTCAGAAACTTATAAATAAAGCCCCACCTTCCCAGGACAGAGCAACTTCAGCAAAGTCTCAGGACACAAAATCAATGTGCAGAAATCAGAAGCATTCCTATACACAAATAACAGACTAACAGAGAGCCAAATCAAGAGTGAACTGCCATTCAAAATTGCTACAAAGAGAATAAAATACCTAGGAATACAACTAACATAGGATGTAAAGCACCTCTTCAAGTAGAACTACAAACCACTGGTCAGTGAAATGAGAGGACACAAACAGCTGGAAAAACATTCCATGCTCATGGTTAGGAAGAATCAATATTGTGGAAATGGCCATACTGCTGAATGTAATTCATAGATTCAACACTGTCTGCATCAAGCCACCAGTGACCTTCACAGAACTGGAAAAAACCACCTTAAACTTCATATGGAACCAAAAGACAGCATAGCCAAGACAATCTTAACCAAAAAGAACAAAGCTGGAGGCATCATGCTACCTGACTTCAAACTATACTACAAGGCTACAGTAATCAAAACAGCATGGTACTGGTACCAAAACAGAGATAGAGACCAATGGAACAGAACAGAGGCCTTGGAGGCAATGCCACACATCTACAACCATCTGATCTTTGACAAATCTGACAAAAACAAGCAATGGGGAAAGGATTCCTTGTTTAATAAATGGTGTTGGGAAAATGGGCTAGCCATGTGCAGAAAGCAGAAACAGGACCCCTTCCTGACACCTTACACTAAAGTTAACTCCAGATGGATTAAAGACTTAAACATAAGACCTAACACCATGAAAAACCTAGAAGAAAACCTAGGCAAAACCATTCAGGACATAGGCGTAGGCAAGGACTTCATGACCAAAACAGCGAAAGCCACAGCAACAAAAGCAAAAATAAACAAATGGGACCTAATTAAACTCCACAGCTTCTGCACAGCAAAAGAAACAATCATTAGAATGAATTGGCAACCAACAGAATGGGAAAAAATTTTTGCAATCTACCCATATGACAAAAGGCTAATATCCAGAATCTACAAAGAACTAAAACAGATTTACAAGAAAAAAACAAACAAACCCATTCAACAGTGGGCGAAGGACATAAACAGACACTTTTCAAAAGAGGACATATATGAGGCCAACAAACATGAAAAAATGCTCATCATCACTGGTCATTAGAGAAATGCAAATCAAAACTACATTGAGATACCATCTCACGCCAGTTAGAATGGCGATCATTAAAAAATCTGGAGACAACAGATGCTGGAGAGGATGTGGAGAAATAGGAACACTTTTACACTGTTGGTGGGAGTGTCAATTAGTTCAACCATTGTGGAAGACAGTGTGGCGATTCCTCAAGGACCTAGAAACAGAAATTCCATTTGACCCAGCAATCCCATTACTGGGTATATATTCAAAGGATTATAAATCGTTCTATTATAAAGACACATGCACATGTATGTTCATTGCAGCACTGTTTACAATAGCAAAGACCTGGAACCAACCCAAATGCCCATCGATGATAGACTGGACAAGGAAAATGTGGCACAGATACACCATGGAATACTATGCAGCCATAAAAAACAATGAGTTCGTGTCCTTCATAGGGAAAGGGATGAATCTGGAAACCATCATTCTCAGCAAGCTGACACAAGAAGAGAAAATCAAACACCGCATGTTCTCACTCATAGTCAGGTGTTGCACAATGAGATGGACACAAGGAGGGGAGCATCACACACTGGGGTCTGTTGTGGGGGACTAGGGGAGGGACAGCGGGGAGTGGGGAGGTTGGGGAGGAATAACATGGGGCGAAATGCCAGATATAGGTGATGGGAGGATGGAGGCAGCAAACGACCTTGCCATGTATGTACCTATGCAACAATCCTGTATGATCTGCACATGTACCCCAGAACCTAAAGTACAATTTTTTAAAAAAGAAAGAAATTTCAGTTCTTTATTATTACGTTGTCTGCAGTATCCTGTTACGGAAGGATACTCAAAATTATAAGGGAAGATAGCTGTTAATCTAGAATTTGATATCCAGCAAAATGATCATTTATGAATGCAAAAAACAAAAAGCATATTTTCGGGCAACTAAAGATTCACTACTCAGGGTTATTGGTGAAAAAACTACTAACATGTATTTCAGGAAGACAGAAATTTTACCCAGAGGAAAGCTTAGGATCCAAGAAAGAAGTGAGCAACGGGGAAGGGTAAACTTGTGAGTATATCCAGCACGGCACAATGGCTCATACCTGTAATTCTAGCATTTTGGGAGGCCGAGGTGGGCAGATTATGTGAGGTCAGAAGTTCCAGACCAGCCTGGCCAACATGGCAAAACACTATCTCTACTAAAAATATGAAAATTAGTCAGACATGGTGGCACATGCCTGTAATACCAGCTACTCGAGAGGCTGAAGCAGAACTGCTTGAATCCAGGAGGCTGAGGTTGCAGTGAGCCAAGATTGTGCCACTGCACTCCAGCCCAGGCAACAGAGTGAGATTCTGTCTCGAAACAAACAAACAAACAAAAACAAACAAAAATCTTGTGAGTATATCCAAATAGGCATGAGTTACATAAATAACAACAATAATCACTAAAGAAAAGTGGTATGAAAGCGAAATGAAACAAAATTCTGGCAGCATTTTCATGTAAGATAGGAGTAGAGGATCTGTGTTCATGTCTTCTCAAATCGGTATACTATTTGTAAGAAGAGTAGAGCTAATTATTAACTTTAGACTTTATTAAGTCAAGTATTCATATGAAAATCTTAAGGGTAACTACTGAAATGATAGAAATAGAGTGTAAAATTGCTGAATCAGTAGAAAAGAAGAAAGAGATAAAGACATTTTGCTCAATCCAATAGAAGACAAGGGAGGAGAAAGGGTAGCAGCACCAGCAGCCGTAATGAACAAGAATGATAAACGCAGGGCCCCAAAACGCTGGGGGAAAGATTATTGTTAATATCATTGGAGTGATAAAGGCATTGTGATTAAGTAAATGACTGTATTTTTGAGCTATTTAAGAATGATGGTGAAATAACAGGATATCATGGATTTGCTTTATCATACTTTAGAAAAAAGAAAACAAATGAAAAGAATAGTTCAGGTATGGAAAACGTGTGATTTCTACACATTAGCAGCTATTTTCTCTCAGCACTTTGAAGATGATTCCACTGCATACCCACTCCTCTTATTGTTGTTGATATATTTGCTTCAGCCATTCCTTTGCTTGTAATCTCCTTCTTTGGTTGAGTTCAAAGAAATCAACCTTTGCCTTTTACCGGTAATGTATCTAGGGGTGGATTTATTTTTATTCACCCTGCTCAGAACAACAACTCTTGTATCTGAGGAGTGAACACACGAGGGTTTATTGTATTAACCATCTAGTTTCACATTTGTTTGAAATTTTTTATAATCAATTTAATTTTTAGTGAACAAGTAAGAATGATACATACTTGTAGATCACACAGTGATATTCTAACACATGTATACAAATGTGTGGTGACCAAATCAGAGTTGTAATAAAACTGAAAAAAAATTAAGATGGTAGATAGATTCTATAGCCACTCCAGCTATCATCTGCAGACATATAAGGTCTAAAAAATTTGCCCCTCCTGCTTTCTTTCTCAGGAAACTGTTTGAGGATATGTTCTATCAAACAAGGAGTAACCTAAAAAAGAGAGAGACAGGACCTGAGATTTGGGGAACAGAACTCCAACGCTGGAGAGAGTGGAAGAAATTCCAGACCAACAGCTAATCATCAAACCTGGGGAATAACATGCTCCCAGAATGAAATGGATAGATTATCTGATGTGTTTAGTTGTACTCAGGGGAATTTTCAGATCTGGTAGAGAGTTTTAGGGATGATTTAGTGATAGGTACCTAGAAAGTGAAGCCAAAACAATTATTAAGTCCAGGGAAAACAAGCTGTAGGAGAAAGCACACATAATCACAGTTCATCTGGAAAACATGTATAATGTTTACATGGTTATATTAATGTAATATTGAATATTTATTTAACCAGAATGAGTGAAATTAATAAATTGGAAGGATGAAATGAAGAACTTTGGAGGTATGTGTGTGGGATGCGTGGTATAAAAAAAGTGAAATCCACATTCCTAAATCCTTATGAGTCAACAGGTAATACCTAAAATTGAAAAAATATATAAGCAGGTGCTTTAGACCTATGAAGGTGATTACCAGAACAAACAGCTAAAAATGAAAGTAGAGTATTTTTGTCTAGGGAGTAGTTAGCATAAAGGGGAGCAGTGGGGCTTATAATTTTATTGGGGTGGTGGGAAACCACAAGGGCCATAATAATTAAATAAATTAGATAATATGTTAGAAGTTTATAAAGGCTACGAAAAAAGTAATAGAAGAGGGTCAGGGAGTGGTGAATATGTGATGGCGAGGGAGCTGCAATTTGAAACAGATTGTTGTGGTATATCACCTTAAGAAGGTGCCATTCTGGGCAGAGACTTGAGAGAAGTGAGAGAGTTAGCTCTGGGAATAAGGTGGGGAAGGTAAGGAGGTGGCTCCCAGGCAGAGGCAGTCACCAGAGAAAAGGCTCTAGGGCACAGTATGCTCAAGAAACCACCAGGAGGCCAGTGAGCTGAACAGGAGTAGCACACGAGATCAAAGATGTGATGACGTAGGAGGGGAGACAAAGATGACATCGATCTCTAAGGCTATTGCAGTGTTGAGTTTGCATAAAACGGGGCAAGAATGAGTACAAAGATCTGAACAGAGGAGCCAAACAAGACCTGTATTTTTAAGGGATCACGTGGACCACTGTGATGAGAATAGATTGTAGGGGGAAAGTGAGAAGTAGGGAGACCACTTAGGAGACTCCTGCAGCATCTGGGCTTGAGGAGATGATGGTTCACACCAGGGTAGCAACACGGAGGAAAAAGAAGTTGAGAGTGAACCTGAGATTTTGCCTAAACAACTGGAAGGACAGAGTTGCCATCAACTGAGATGGGCCGAGCTGTGGGACAGAGGATTCCATTTCAGATGTATTACATTTAAGATGTCTGTCAAGCATTTGAGGGAAGACGCAGTAAATGGTAACATACAAATCTAGAGTTTGGGGAGAAAAGCCCAGACTGAGATGTAAATTTGGAAGTGTCTGACTACATATGGCATTTTCAAAAATCAGGAGGAAAATATAAATAAAGAAAAATAAAAAAAAATAAAAATCAGGAGGTTGGATGAAATATCAAGACAGTGAATATAGGTAGAGAAGGGACCAGAGACTAAGCCCTGCTTCCCCCCAAAATTAAGAGGGTGGAGAGGTAGAGAATAAGAGACCACGCAAGGTCACTGAAAACCACAAGAGTGTGGTACCCTGGAGGCTAAGAAAGCGCACTGAGGAAGAGGGAGTGATGAGCAGTAAATGCTCCCCGTAAACTGAGAACTGAGAACTAAGCATTGGATTAAGGAATGCAGATGTAACTGATTTTGACAAGAGCAGATTTGGTAACATTGGGCGGGGTGGGCATAAGAGCCAGATGGGAGTGGGAATAAGAATGGGCAAAGAAAAGATGGAGGCCGTGACTAGAGACCACTGGTTCAAATGTTTTTCTACAGAGGGGAACAAAGAAACAAGATGGTAGCTCGCAGGAAATGGGGTCAGAAGTACTTTATGTTTCTCTGGTTTGGGGTCACGTTAATAAAAAGTTAAAGACTGAAAACCACAAAACCACCTAGATTTCAGTCCTTAATTTTCCAATTCAAAAAGATTCTTTTCATGCAAGGCCAAAGATTCACCATTGATATCTAAATATTCAACAGTGGCAGCCCTTTAAAAACTTAGGACATCCTAGAATTTTGAGACGTTGTTGTTACCTATGTGTACAGCTCCTTTAACCTCTCCCTGTTGCTGGACAGACAGGGGAGAATTGCTGGAGCAGTGTAGCAATAACCTTGTGTGACCCTGTGTAGGCAAAAAGAGAGGATATAGTATAGCAACCAGTAGGAGGGTATAGGCTTTAGACAGAAACACAGAAAGCTCTTCTGTGGTTAAGAGGTGGGAAAGCAAAGTAAGTGAGTGTGGATGCTGCCAAGGAGATAGATCTGGTGTCGGCTGGTCATGGACGGCTTCTTTTCCTGAACGAGGAGATAAACCATTATCCCCATCTTCCTCAAAAGAAGAAAGAAGCTCAGAGAGGTTACACAGCCAGTAACGGGCACAGCAGAACTAAAATTCAGAGTTTCTAACCACAAATCCAGTTCCGTGTTTATTAGCGCTCCCCACCTCCCTGAAGCCTTCCAGTAAGTGTGTAGGTGCCTTGGTTGCCAGGCTGAACATTTGAAGGGTAAGCAGTCAGCTTCACTCTTGTTTTGGTACTCTCCAAGTATCTTCTCATTCAAAGAGAAGACATGGACCACTTATAGAATCTAGCAGATGTCAGTACTGAGAAAAACAAATCAGTAGGTGATTTCCATGTACAGCTGAGGCTGAGAATCACGTGGCTGGGGCAGCACTTCTCAGACCTGAAATGCCTGTGAAATCGCGTGACCCTGAATATTCTAATTCAGCATTTCTAAGGGGAGGGCCTGAGATTCTGCATTTCTAACAGGCTTCCAGGTGATGCTGATGCTGCTGGTCCACAGACTCCACTTCAAAAAGCACACTGAAAGGTGGAAACAATTCAAATGTTTATCAACAAGTAGAGAAACAAAATGTAGGATGTTCATAAAAAAGGCCATTAACTCTGGGAGGCCGACGTGGGCAGATCACCTGAAGTCAGGAGTTTGAGACCAGCCTGGCCAACGTAGTAAAACTCCATCTCTACTTAAAAAAAAAATTACAAAACTTAGACAGGCACAGTGTCAGGCACCTGTAGTCCCAGCTACTCAGGAGGCTGAGACAGGAGAATAGCTTGAACCCAGGAGGCAGAGGCTGCAGTGAGCCAAGATTGTGCCACTACACTCCAGCCTGGGCAACAGAGTGAGACCCTGTCTCAAAAAAAAAAAACGTCCAAAGCCGGGCACGGTGGCTCAAGCCTGTAATCCCAGCACTTTGAGAGGCCGAGGCGGGTGGATCACAAGGTCAAAAGATCGAGACCATCCTGGTCAACTTGGTGAAGCCCCATCTCTACTGAAAATACAAAAATTAGCTGGGCATGGTGGTGCGTGCCTGTAATCCCAGCTACTCAGGAGGCTGAGACAGGAGAATTGCCTGAACCCAGGAGGTGGAGTTTGCGGTGAGCCGAGATCCCACCATTGCACTCCAGCCTGGGTAACAAGAGCAAAACTCTGTCTCAAAAAAAAAAAAAAAATCCATTAAAAGGAATGAAGTGCTGATGTGATATATGTCAAAACTACAACACAGGTGAACTTTGAAAATGTTACGCTAAGTGAAAGAAGATGGTTACATAAGACCACATGCTATATGACTCCATCGATGTGAAATGTCCAGAATAGACAAATCCATAGAGATAGAAAGTCGATTAGTGGTTGCCAGGAACTGGGAACATGGGGGAATGGATAGTATTTGCAAATGGGTACCGGATTTCTTTTTGGGAGGATGAAAATATTCTAGAACTAGATTGCACAACATTGCGAATGTACCAACTGTCTCTACAGTAGTGGCAAGTTTTACATTATATGTGGTTTCCCACACCAGTAAAAACAAAACACAACAAAAAAGCAAAGAGCTGGATCATCTCTATGGTGGCTTTGGTTTTGATATTCTGTAGTTCTAGGAACTGAAGTGTTAAGAAAGTAAAGGAGAAGGAGATGAGTTCCTTGGAGAGAAGCCTTGGTAGGTCTCCCAAAGGAGAAATGCTCCATTCTGTCCAAAAGAAGTGAGCAACTCGGCACAGCAATGCACTGAAAGGTGCTTAGGGCTATGGAGGGAAGAGTCTGAGTGTTCCCGGACAAAATCAGTCCGCCAGTCGATCACGTGACTGCATCTCTACAGAGCCCCCTTTTCGCACCAAGCCCTGATATCAGGAAAATGGGAAAAGTCATTCAGTTTCGCGGGAAGCTCACAGTCTAATAGAGAAGACTCCCACATGAGACAGAAAACAGTAAGACAGGCCCTACTGAGGACCAAATTGCAATGTCCAGGCCGTGACAGTTGGAGATGGTCAGGGGTGATCGCGGCTATTGGGAGTGGTAAGGGAGGCCCCCTGAAGGGCTGGGCACAAAGGGAGACCAATTGTGTGTGCTCGATTAGCCTAAGCTAGTCACTAAAATATCTTTTTGAACAAAGCATAAAATATATATATATGGGATCCTTTAATATTCATGCTATGCAAAATTGGGCCCAGAATCTGCTTTTCCTATCCTTCTTTTCAGAATGTGGACTATTAGCAGTATTAGAAAATTACCAACTGCTACTCACCATATGGTGGAAATACTTATTTTCTGGAATCATTTGGTTGCAATAATGACAGTGGATTTCCCTTTCAGGTGCTGAAATTCTTTCCCCTGAATAAGCACAGAAACAACACCACAAATGATTGCCCTTGACAATGGCTAGCCCAGCTCACCCACAGCTGTCTATATGGCCCGTACTCATGAGCATGAACTGTCCCCGGGCCTGTCTGGCTTTGACTTTCCTGCACTGCCGGCATCCTTGACTACACAGGCAACTCTTGGCAGAGTCACCCACATCATTTCCTTTATGGCCACAGATGTGCAGTTAGGGCAGCAGCAGCCGTGATGGTGATGGAGAGACAGCTTCCCGGAGTGGGACTGCTTTCTAAGGAGATGAATGGAACTGTAGCCACAGATGCCAGTCCTCTCCGATCTAACTGCTCTTCATTCCACCAGTTTCCAGGCTCTGTGATCGGACCAGGTGTTGGTTGAACACATCTTTGTTGATGGTGTTGACGCTGTGTTGTGTTGGGTTGTGTTGAAGTTGTGTTGAAGACTGTGTTTGGTTCTGCTGAAGTCCAGCCATGCTGGATGAAGGAAATGTACATGAATCTCACACTTTTCAGTTTTTCATTGGCCAGTTTTGACCTTGGGTCGATTGTTTATCAGGAGAGAGTTACTGTCTGGGGAGTTTTAGGCTGTCTCTTATGTTACCATGTTACCAAAACAAGCAGCAAAGGCAGCAAAGGATCTGTCACATTGATGACTGTGGGACAGTGATACTAAATATACCCTTGTAAAGAGGTATGTGAGCCAAGTGAACAGAAAATGGTACCAGGGGCCAGGCTCCGAGGCCAGGAGTTATAGCTAGGTGCCTTCTGGCCATTGCCGATAATGGAAAAAGCCCTAGGTTTGGTGGAAAATGTGAAAGTCCAGTCTGATTTCTGCCTCTAGCAAGCCCCTGCTTTATTCTGTGTGTAGATTTCTCATCTGTAAAAGGACGAGAAATCAATGGATCTCTGCCAGGCTAGGACTGTGCTGGAGGCATTCAAAGAAGGCCTCCTGTTTCCTAGGACTCCCCATGGCCTCCTTACTCAACTCTGTGGCTGGCAGGCTCTATCCTTAGCCCCCTGGTCTCCCTGGACCAGTCATTTGAAGACCATGGCAGACACACAGGAAAGCCACTCTAATGCATGGTTAGAATAGCTGGATGAATTGAGACCTACACAGCAAATACCCTTGTCATCCATGCTGCTGAGAGCTTCCATTCCTCACATCCCATCCAGGAAATGCTCTGGCCCTCAGAACGTCTCCCTTCCGCCCCAGTTTGTACGCTCACCTGTCCCGAGCTGGGCCCGTTGACTCCAACAGAAATGTGTGTGCTCTACGAGTGCCCGGCGCGTAGTGAACTGGCCACAGCCCAGGCAGAGCTCCGTCTGCCTGCCACAGTGGGACTCGTGGAGCTCCAGCCTGCTGAGCTGCACGCCCAGCTTGCAGAACTTACACTCAGTGAGGCGTTCCCGGCACTCATTGGCCTGTGGGAGGCAGCAGGAAGGGCATGATCACTGGCCTCTTTGACTGCAGACAGATCGAGGACTTGTGCCCAATTCCCTAGGGAATTGCAGCCAATAAGAGACAGCAGATGAGATGGGCCAGAGTGAGGGACTGCCCTTGGGGGGATCTGAGCTCTCTTGGACTCATGGACCATGGAAAGCCCTTCTGGCCAGTATCTGGGGGACAGGAGGTCGTGTGTCATGCAGTGGGCCACTGCAGTGGGTCTCCACTGCTCTCCAAGCCCGATGGGGTGTAAAGAGTGAGTGGTCAGGTGGAATTCTCTATTATCGGCCTCGCCTTCTCCCTTCCTCTCCTTTTCTTGGGTTGGCCTATTTGGCAGTCAAGGAGAAATCACATGGAGCTCTTACCTCATGAAACGCCGGCGAGGACTTCTGGATGCTCTTCTGACACATCGTACACCCAATCTAAACATACCACACACACACCCCAGATGGGGGTTCCACCTAGCACCCCGGGCCTGTCCCACATCCACTTTGGCTCACAGTGTCCCAGGTTGGAGTCTGTGAACTCCTAGAGGGCAGGGATCCAGTGTGGCTACCTCAGTCTCTCTCTAGCGCCCAGCCCAGTGTTCAAGACGTGTTTGTCGGACCAGTCTGAGTTGAAATGGATGCCTGAGCTTGAGTATCTCCAGAGAGACAGATCGGGGGCCCAGGAGGAACAGACAGGAACTCTTTTTCAGGCAGGAGACAAAGCTCGACCTGACTGCCTTCCTGGGCCTTCCTGTCCACGGCCCCTCTTTACGGGTCTCAAGAGAAGAGCCAGTCTTTCCTGAAACCAGATCCTCTTACCTATGCTAGACCCATAAGCCTGTAGGGAAAGGACTGGAGATGGGAAAATTGGAGGTAGGCTCAGATCAGCAAGAAAATGGCAGGATTGACATTTCCTGCCCATGGGGCTTCCTGTGAAGGAGCTAAACGATTTCCCATGGCCCTCAAGTGAGTCTCTGCCTGGGGGACTGGACTCCTGCCTTAAGTCCCCAGTCCTTGCCCCAATTCCAGGACCCCATCTCTCCCGCAGGGAGGACTGGACCCTCGCCCCGACTCCCGGACCCCATCTCTCCTTCAGGGAGGACTGGACCCTCACCCCGACTCCCGGACCCCATCTCTCCTTCAGGGAGGACTGGACCCTCGCCCTGACTCCCGGACCCCATCTCTCCTTCAGGGAGGACTGGACCCTCGCCCCGACTCCCGGACCCCATCTCTCCTTCAGGGAGGACTGGACCCTCGTCCCGACTCCCGGACCCCATCTCTCCTTCAGGGAGGACTGGACCCTCGCCCCGACTCCCGGACCCCATCGCTCCTTCAGGGAGGACTGGACCCTCACCCCGACTCCCGGACCCCATCTCTCCCTCAGGGAGGACTGGACCCTCACCCCGACTCCCGGACCCCATCTCTCCTGCAGGGAGGACTGGACCCTCACCCCGACTCCCGGACCCCATCTCTCCTTCAGGGAGGACTGGACCCTCACCCCGACTCCCGGACCCCATCTCTCCTGCAGGGAGGACTGGACCCTCACCCCGACTCCCGGACCCCATCTCTCCTTCAGGGAGGACTGGACCCTCACCCCGACTCCCGGACCCCATCTCTCCTGCAGGGAGGACTGGACCCTCACCCCGACTCCCGGACCCCATCTCTCCTTCAGGGAGGACTGGACCCTCACCCCGACTCCCGGACCCCATCTCTCCCTCAGGGAGGACTGGACCCTCACCCCGACTCCCGGACCCCATCTCTCCCTCAGGGAGGACTGGACCCTCACCCCGACTCCCGGACCCCATCTCTCCTGCAGGCATCCTCGCCTCGCCTCCCGGACTCCATCCTCCCTGCCACCTGCTCACCTGCTGGTGCTCATCCTTGCAGTGTTCCTCCATCTTTTCCCTGGGGACAGGCTCCTCACACTCCGGGCACAGGACCAGGAACCGCAGGCAGTGCACCTCGTGGAGGGCAAAGTGGGCAGAGGCTACATTTCTTTTGCTACAGGGTCAAGGAGGGGAGATAGGAAAATAGACTTATTTTCCTGTTAGGAAACATGGAGCTGTATTTCCCACCGGGGACCAGATCTCCAGAGGCCTTAAGCACTGAACATGTGATGATGATGATGCCACCTGCCCCCACTCCCTGTGTTGGGTCAAAATTAGAACGGAACATCATCGTCGAATAAGTGTGAGGACGTTCCACAGAGCTCTTACATTGCTGGGGCGGGGCCTGGGGAGGAGCAGGAGGGAGGAATGACAAAAGGGGCACAGCGGAGATTTGGGGGTGATGGGGAGCTTCATTATCTCAGTTACGGGGATGGTGTTTCACGGATGTATATAACATAGGCCCAAACTTATCAATTGCTATTGAATGTGTGGTTTATTGCCGGTCAGTTATACCTCTCTGAGGCTGTTTTTAAAATGAAATGACATTTCATTGTAAATAATTTAAATAATTAAATTATTTCAATTTAAATAATTTGAGAAGTGCCAAATTCTCTTGAAGCTTCTTTCTTGTTTTCTGCTGCCCCTGTTTGGTCCACAGTGTTAGGAATGCAGTCCTGCAAGGCTCACGCTTCCTGCCAGGACCATGCCAACTGCTAGAATCTCCAAAGCGAGAGCTTCCCAAGTCTCTCCTGCCTCCAGGTTCACCTGCGCTAACCCACAGAGGTTCCGAGGTTTCTTCCTGGAGTCCAAGTGAAGGAAGGGTTCTGAGCCTCCCACCTCCTGGGCAGGGCGTTTTTCTCTAACCGTCCTCTTCACCGAGAAAGGCCCCCTTTCGGCCACTGGCTCACGCCTGTAATCCCAGCACTTTGGGAGGCTGAGGCAGGTGGATCACCTGAGGTCAGGAGTTCGAGACCAGCCTAGCCAACATGATGAAACCTCAGCTCTACTACAAAAAAATTCAAAATTAGCCAGGCATAGTGGCAAATGCCTTTAATCCCAGCTACTTGGGAGGCTGAGGCAGGAGAATCACTTGAACCCAGGAGGTGGAGGTTGCAGTGAGCTGAGATTGTGTCATTGTACTCCAGCCTGGGAAAAAGAAGTCAGACTCCATCTCAAGTAAAAAAAAAAAAGGAAGGAAGAAAGGAAAGAAAGAAAGAAGGAAAGAAAGAAAAAGAAAAAATACACCTTTCATTTCCATCAGCTCTTGCTTGTGGCAGCTCGGGAGAATGGAAATGTGGTGGCCACAGCCCTAAAGGCCAGAGGACGAGACGAGTCTCAGGTCCATGTCCCTGGCACGTGGGACGTGCCCTGAGAGGGACTGTCAAAGCCTCACTCTTCTTGATCCAAACAAGCTCTTTGCTTCTGCTGTGCCCAGGCAGTGGGCACACAGGCAGTGCCAGCTTCCCTGCCTCTGTTCTTCCCAGCCTGGTCCCCTGCCCCCCTGCCCCTCCTGGGCTGGCTGAGAAACCAGAGAACTTGAAGGGTCTGGTTGGAGCAAAGCTCTCTGGGGAGGGTCCACTCAGGTCCCTGTCACAGGTAGGGAACTTTAAGAATGGGGATTTTTGATGGGGCAGTTTCCGCCTGCAGTTAGAGGTGTGGTCCCAGCCCCCTGCTCTGTCCTCCCTGCCCTGCCCACAGCTCCCTTTCCAAGGAGGGTGAGAATAGTCCTGGGGAATCTCTGTGGGGCCCTTTCTTTTTTTTTTTTTTTTTTTTGAGACAGAGTCTGACTTTGTTGCCAGGCTGGAGTGTAGTGGTGCAATCTCTGCTCACTGTAACCTCTGCTTCCCAGGTTCAAGCAATTCACCTGCCTCAGCCTCCTGAGTAGCTGGAATTATAGGCATGTGCCACCATGCCTGGCTAATTTTTGTATTTTTAGTAGAGACGGGGTTTCACCGTGTTGGTCAGGCTGGTCTCGAACTCCTGACCTCATGATCTGACAGTCTCGGCCTCCCAAAGTGCTGGGATTGCAGGCGTGAGCCACCACACCTGGCCTGTGGGGCCCTTTGTTTCACAGATTGGTGTGAAGGTCATAGTATCAGAACCCCAGATTAGAACCCAAGATCTCACAAGTATGAGTAGCACAGTTGGAACCAACTGTCCTGGCTATTTGGCTTCAGAATTGTCCCCAAAGGCCTAAAATTTGGGGGAAAGAGGGTGCAGTGAAGTGGAGGTAATGCTGCTCACTCTCACCCAGAGATGACTCAGTTTAAACCCTCCTACCCTTGGGTTCTGCGGTCTCCAGCTGCTTGTTCTCCTAAGCGCAGCAACCATTTTTCTCCTCCCTTTGGCAACAGCCCTATCTCATCCACGTCTCCCACTGTCCAGCCTGGGGCTGCCCCTGGAGAAGGTGTTTCTTACCAGTTCCTGCACACCAAGAAGGCTTCTGCCATGTTCTGCTCTCTGCTCAGTCTTTCTGGCGAGTTTCGTTTCTTGCAGACAAGGAAACAAAACTGAAAGTGTTTCAGTGGCCCAGCCCACAGCTGCAGGGCGGGAGAAGATCTCCAGCATCTCAGCTCAGGATTCTTGGGGCTGGACCCTCCCAGGAAGCCCCTCTGCAGCCTGGCCAGCCCCTGTTGTCTCCCTCGGCCATGCTGTGCTCCTATCACAGGCCTCGTCTACCTCCCTGAGGGTGGGAGCCCTGAGGCCAGGCCTCTCCTGGGCAGGAGCTGGTTCCCTTACCGTAGCTGGCTGGCTTTGCTCTGTCTGGGTCTCCATCGCTTTTTCAAACCATCAACCTCCCACCGTTCTCCGCCATCGCCTGCTCCCTTCTGGTCCTCCCTCTGCGGGAAAGAGGGAACTAGCCGTATTGAGCTTGAATGCTGCTGAGATTGCACCATTGCACTTCAGCCTGGGCAAAAAGAAGTGAAACTCCATCTTAAGAAAAAAAAAAAAAGAAAAGAAAAAGAAAAAAAAGAACCCCTTTCATTTCCATCAGCTCTTGCTTGTGGCAGCTCGGGAGCATGGAAAGGTGGTGGCCACAGCCCTAAAGGCCAGAGGACGAGAGGGGTCGCACGTCCATGTCCCTGGCACATGGGATGTGCCCCAAGAGGGACTGTCAAAGCCTCACTCTTCTTGATGTGAACAAGCTCTTTGCTTCTGCTAAAAGCAAAAAAGGGCTCAAAAGGGCTCCCGGACCTCCAGACGGGGAGGAGGACTTTGCAAACAGTGTCCAGGGAGGCTCTGGGGAAGCGGGGTGGTGTGAGCTCAGACCCACTCTGGTGTGTATCCTCTCTGACGCCCTTAGTTTTTCCAGACCCCAGAAACAGCTGTGCTAAAGACTCCAAACAACAACCAGGTCCACAGAATTCCCATGGAGTCTGCCGATGGGGTGGGTGCCGCCTCTCTGAGGAAGTTAACAAGATTAGGGGAAATGTCCCCACATGGCTCTAGCCTCCAGGCAGGCTCTAAGATTCGGGCACTAAATGAGAGGCAGTGTGTGGTGTCACTAATGACCGCAGTGACAGGCGGGAAGAGGGAATGACTGCTTCAGCATTTCTATGTTCAAGTGAATCTAGAGCATTTGCCAGTTTGTCCGCCTGTGTATGGTTTTTTCACAGGAAGAAGCAGGGTATGATTAGACACTTAAAAGTAATAGAACAGTGTATCTAACAGCTCAGTGAGAATTGAAAACATGTGTGAATAATTATAACCTCATTAGAAACATGTGGATAGTACATGCTTCATGCTGACTTTTTAAAAAGGGGGTTTAATTTATATTTGTTTCCCACGATGTTATTTATAAAAAAATCCAGCCAGTTTTTAGTTCGCTTCAGTGTCCACCATTATTGTTTATAAACACAATGAAGACTAATATCAGGATGCACTTGGAGAATTTTGATTATGATTTTATGCATCTGTACTTCAACTTCAGCAAGCCCACTGTCTACACAGCTTTACAGTAGCTGGTAAATACATACATAGCAGCTTGTCACTCATGCATGAAGAACTTCAAACAGAGGCTTAGAATGTCAGAAATCCCTAAGGGATCACTGTTGGGGGGGGGCAAGGGGGAATGCGTAATAATTGCTTGAAGCATTTAGCATGGAGCTAAGGCCATTTACGAGGCTCTTGGTGCTAAAGTGGGAGGACGGGAGCTTCCAAGCCTGTCTGCACGTTGGAGTCATTTGAGAACAGCACATAGAAGGGGCTTACGTTCTTCCCCAGTCCCCTGCCACCGCCTCGAGAGACCCACTCCGGTGTGTATCCTCCCCAGGGCCCTTAGAGTTTTTCCAAACCCCAGAAACAGCTGTGCTAATAGACTTCAAACAACATCCAGAGCGATGACAAGCAGACCCAGAGAATGCCCGTGGAGTCTGCCGATGAGGTGGGTGCCCTCTCTCTGAGGAGGTTAACAAGACTAAGGGAAATGTCCCGGCATGGCTCCAGCCTCCAGGCAGGCTCTAAGATTCGGGCACTAAATGAGAGGCAGTGTGTGGTGTCACTAATGACTGCAGTGACAGGCGGGAAGAGGGAATGACTGCTTCAGCATTTCTATGTTCAGCATCATACTAAGCATTACGTAGGCGTTGTCTTTGTTTTAATCTGTGCAACAGCTCTCGTGTAAGGATTATTAACTCCATTTTCGCTATGGAAAACAGAGGCAGTGACAGAGTGAGACTCTGCCTCAGAAAAGAAAAATGAAAAGACAATGGAGGTAGAGACAGGCTGGGTAAATAGCTCACCATCAGAGCTGGGATTTATACCAAGTTGATCTGACTCAGTTGTCTCTGTACCTAACCAAGACCCCATCCACCTCATTTAACAGCTAGTTGGGGTGAGGAACCTTGACCAAGAGTCAGAGACAGAGGTTTGCGTCTTATCTTGTTCCCCTCCTCATCGGCTAGGCAAGCTCCTTCATCCTTCTGACCTTCACTGCCCACTCCGGTCGGTATCTGGGCAGTCTGTGAATATCAAGAATGAAAAACACAGAGCTTTCTTTTCACACATTGTCTCCTGCTGAGATGGAATGGGGGTGGTGGCAGGAGATGGGTGTATAGATTGGACATCTAAGAGGACTGGAACCTGTGGACAGGGCCTGGGGGTGGAATCAGAAGTGACCATAGGTTGCTTTTCATCTACATCTAATTTTCTTCCAAGATGTTTCCTCCTGCAGACTGTCCCAGCCACACCACCCCTTCCCTTCCTCATCAAAATCCCAGCAGTTCTTCAGAACCGACCCCTATGCCGTCACTGATACAGAACCTACCTCCTTTGTCTCTGGTTATGGTGAATTGCCTGTTTGTTTCTTTGACTCCTCCTCATCCAATCACAGGCACAGGCAACTTGAGAGCCAGCTCTTTCTGATCCACACCCCTTGCCTTCCTGGAGGGACCCATGGGCTTTGTGCTGCTTAGGCAGTGCAGTACTGGGCTTTGCAAGTAGCAGGCAGTCAAATGCTGGATGGGGTGTTTTGAGATAATTAAGCAGGGAGTTAGAAATCTCCTCCCCCCAACACAACACCCCAGAATCTGAGGGCTCTCAAAGTGGCAGCAATGGCCATTTTCTTTTCATTTTTCAAGATAACTTATATTACATAACTAATACATGAATATACACGCTTTAAAAAAATAGAATATTACAGATAAAGCAATGTCTCTCTTTGACTACCATGGCTGTTCCTGGGCCATCACTATTATTAATCAGAGATTGTATGCAGGAACATTCTGGTTAGCACAAAAGCCTGTCCCCATTTCCACTACATCATTCGGTGCTGTGGGCTTGCATGATTTCATCATTCTGCCACCCGTCTTTGGCTGACTGCCAACCCCTCCCCAACCCCAATCCCATAAAAAAAAAAAAAGAAAGAAAAAACTAAATGAGAAACGCTCTGTTGTGGGCTTAGAATTCCTTTCCAGGACACTGTGGCTACCCGCTTGGCTGTTGTTGGGAGTTTCCGGCAGTCTCTTTTGTGTCAGGCCTATGGGTCAGGGGAGGGGGGTGAAGGTTGCCACAGGAAGCCAATCTCTCAGATGTGAATTGGCCGGACTGGCCACGTCACCTTTGCAGGAATGGGGGGAAAAGGGAGCAGGAAGTCCTGGCTGGACCAAGACACAGGAATAATACACACCTCCATGCGTTGTTTGAGGAGCAGAAGAGAAATTGTGTGAAAGCTGTACTTGTGCAGCACGGAAGAGAGGAGAGAATATTTAAAAGTGATTGTTTTAATAGTTGGCTTTGAGAAGGGATCTTATTTAGGCTTTTTCTTTTAAGGGATCACTACGCTAAGGAAGCTGATGTAACAACAGAGATATTTCACTTTCCAGACAAAAATTATATGGTGGAATTGCACACACTTCTGTCGGTGTTGTCTTTGGAAGAATCCTGTGGTCAGAGTGGGCCTGAGTTCTGGGAGATGTGATCATATCGATTTCAGACTCCCTAAGTACAACGTGTTTGGGTGGGAGTTTGTCAGACCACATGCAATTGCATCAAATGACTAGTCTCTGGATGGCATTCAAGCCTGGGAATATCTGTGATTGTGTTTGGGGCAGACTCTAGGCCTGGCTGGGCAGCACAGTCGGGGAATGTCCTGCTGGCTGTTGCTTAGTTGGCATGTGAAGGGGAAGGAAGATTGTCATGAAACTCATGGACAAGAAACAGCAACTCCATGGCATTCTGTCTGTGTGGGGAGTGACCAGGACTGTTCTCTTCCTTTCTTTCTGTGAGAAGTCTCTTTGCACACATTCATAGTTTTTGTTTGTTTGTTTGTTCCTGGTTAAAACATCTCCTCACCCACTTCCCCCACCAACCCATTTCCATCCAATCAGCAATCACAACCCAAACGCCGACTCTTCCTTGACATTTACAAAGGTCAGTGTTATGAGGCTTCTCGTTTTCCCAAATTATATATATATAGATATGTATGTTTATATAAATAAGAAAGAGATACAGCAATGTCTCTCTTTGACTACTAATTATATATATATATTTATACAATATAAATATATTTATACAATATATATTTATATAATATAAATATATATAATTAGTAGTCAAAATATAATATAGATATATATTTATAATATAATATAAATATATAAATATATATTACATATATATTATGTTATATATTTTATATATTATATATGTATTTTATTTATAATATGTGTATTATATATTACATATATTTCTATATGTAATACATAATATATAAATATGTAATATATACTTATATAAAATATATATTTTTATATATTATATATATTATATATAAAAGAATATATATAAAAAACATGGGAAAAGGCGAGAGAGATATATATATCCCAGATTTTATGTATATATATATATATACCCTATATATATAACGTATATATAAAATATGTATTTTATATAACATATGTATTAGATATATATATAATCTGGGAGAAGGGTATGTCATCTATATTTACCATATATATATGGTAAAGAGATGAAGTCTCTCTCTGT